TACTTATTTGGGAATAGTGGCTACAAAATTCACATTTGTTGCCAGGATGGTAGCTGCACTTACCACATTCTTGCAGGTGGAAAAAGAGGGCATCTGAGCCCTGGAATAAGATTTTAGATTCCATGACCTCACCTTCTTGTTGGGAAGAAACTACCATTTCAGTGAAAAGTGCAGTCAAAATGTCTGCAAGGGGACTAAAGGTTATCACTGGAAAACAGCTTGGAGTGAGGAAATTAGTTATTAATGTGGGTAAATAAAGTTACACATTGAAAATAACATAAGAAGCTAGAAGAGTATCTGTGAAGCGTGTAAATAGGTAACTCTCCATGGGTAGTGAGTAGAGGACACTGAGCTCTAAGTTCTGAAATAATTAAGTGGAGCCCATGGCTATCCTAGAACTTAAATAATATAAAATGGTTTCTACAAAGTGGGCATTCTTTCCATTTCTGAGAACTCAGAGGAAATACAAACTTGGAACAAAAGAAATGGTAAAGTAAGAGTACAAAGATGTTAAAGAGCCGGGCACGGTGGCTCACACCAATAATCCTAGAAATTTGGAAGGCCGAGGCAAGTGGATTACCTGAGGTCAGGAGTTCTAGACCAGCCTGGCCAATGTGGTGAAACCCCGTCTCTACTAAAAATACAAAAATTAGCCAAACATGTTGGCACGCACCTGTAATCCCGGCTACTTGGGAGAGTGAGTCAGAAGAATCTCTTGAACCTGGGTGGCGGAGGTTGCAGTGAGCCAAGATCATGCCATTGCTACTCCAGCCTGGGCAACAAGAGTGAAACTCTGTCTGGAAAAAAAAAAAATTAAGATGTTGAAGAATGGAAAGAAAGTCATGGTATATCATATTGTTTCACTGTTCTGGAATCTATAAATATTGTCACCCTGGAACACTTATTCTTCTATACAAAATCAATATCCAGCTCACAGCTCTTGTGGTATTGAAAAACAAGTATTCCTTACAGCAAAGTCACATTACTACAAAATAAATGAGGGCCAACATTAAGATTTGTTGGTTCACTACTTTCTTATTTCTTTTATTTTTGAGATGGAATCTCGCTCTGTTGCCCAGGCCAGGGTACGGTGGTGTGATCTCAGCTCACTGCAACCTCTGCCTACTGGGTTCAAGCAATTCTCCCTGTCTCAGCCTCCCAAGTGGGTGGGATTACAGGCACGCACCACCACGCCTGGTTAATCTTTGTATTTTTAGCAGAGATGGGGTTTTGCCATGTTGGCCAGGCTGGTCTCAAACACCTGACCTCAGGTGATCTGCTTGTCGTCTTGGCCTCCCAAAGTGCTGGGATTACAGGCATAAGCCACCATGTCTAGCCGATTTTTTTTTTTTTTGAGAAGGAGTTTAGCTCTTGTTGCCCAGGCTGGAATGCAATTACGCGATCTTGGCTCGCCGCAACCACTGCCTCCTAGGTTCAAGTGATTCTCCTGTCTCAGCCTCCCAAGTAGCTGGGATTACAGGCATGCACCACCACGCCCAGCTAATTTGTATTTTTAGTAGAGAGGGGGTTTCTCCATGTTGGTCAAGCTGATCTCAAACTCCCAACCTTACGTGATCCACCTGCCTTGGCCTCCCAAAGTGCTGGCATTACAGGTGTGAGCTGCCATGCGCAGCCTATTTTCTTATTCCTTAATGAAATGGAAAACTTTTTTTCACAAAGAAGTTTATTTTTGTGAAGCAACAGACATGAATAGACACTTTATGTAAAAAGATATACCTGTTTATTTAAAAAATAAAAATTTTAAAGTCTTTTTTTTTTTTTTCGAGATGGAGTTTCGCTGTTGTTGCCCAGACTGGAGTGCAATGGCGCGATCTCGGCTCACCGCAACCTCCGCCTCCTGAGTTCAAGCAATTCTTCTGCCTCAGCCTCCCGAGTAGCTGGGACTACAGGCGTGCGCCACCATGCCCAGCTAATTTTTGTATTTTTAGTAGAGACGGGGTTTCACCTTGTTGACCAGGATGGTCTCGATCTCTTGACCTCGTGATCCACCCGCCTCGGCCTCCCAAAGTGCTGGGATTATAGGTGTGAGCCACTGCGCCCGGCCGAGTCTTTTTTTTTTTTAAAGACGGGGTTTCACCATGTTGGTCAGGCTGGTCTTGAACTCCCGATCTCAGGTGATCCACCCGTCTTGGCCTCCAAAGTGCTTGGATTACAGGCGTGAGCCACTGCGCCCGGCCTGAAAATTTAAAAGTCTAACCATACTCTCTCAATAAGAATTATCAGACACTGGTGGTAGGAATGCAAAAGGAAGCAATCGTTTTAATTTAGGTCAGTTTGGCATTGCCTAAAAAATTTTACCTACCGCCGGGCGCGGTGGCTCACGCCTGTAATCCCAGCACTTTGGGAGGCCGAGGCGGGTGGATCACAAGGTCAAGAGATCGAGGCCATCCTGGTCAACATGGTGAAACCCCGTCTCTACTAAAAATACAAAACATCAGCTGGGCACGGTGGCACGTGCCTGTAATCCCAGCTACTCAGGAGGCTGAGGCAGGAGAATTGCCTGAACCCAGGAGGCGGAGGCTGCGGTGAGCCGAGATCGTGCCATTGCACTCCAGCCTGGGTAACGAGAGCGAAACTCCGTCTCAAAAAAAAAAAAAAATAAAAAAAAAAAATAAAAATTTTACCTACCATGTGACTCAGGCATTACACATGGAGATATTAACAAAAGAGGAGTAAAATATATGAAGAATTATATTCAAAAGTTAGAAGCAACTCAAATATACATAAATGGATGGATTAATATGCAAACACGTTTCACAGCATGTCATATATCTAATGATATATCATCACTAATAGCAAAATAAATTATATAATAGGTAACCCAAAAATGTAAAGAGGAAATACTTTATAATATTAATCCAGAAAATACAAACTAATCTGTTTTAAAGCACACTAAACCAATGGTTGTCTGGACAGCAGAGAGAAACATTCTATAAAAAGGCTTATCTGGGCACAGTGGCTCACACCTGTAATCCCAGAACTCTGGGAGGCTAAGACAGGCAGATCACTTGAGGTCAGGAGTTTGAGACCGGCCTGGCCAACATAATGAAACCCCATCTCTAGTAAAAATACAAACGTTAGCCGGACGTGGTGGTGCACGCCTATGGTCCCAGCCACTTTGGAGACTGAGGCAGAAGAATCGCTTGAACCCAGGATAAGGAGGTTGCAGTGAGCCGAGATCATGCCACCGCACTTCAGCCTGGGTGACAGAGTAAGAGTCTGTCTCAAAAAATAAAATAAAATAAATAAAAGCTAGGCATGGTGGCTCAAACCTATGGTTCTAGCTATTCAGGAGACTGAGGTGGGAGGATTGCTTGAGCCCAGCAATGTCAGGTTACAGTGAGCTATGATCGTGCTGCACTCCAGTCAGGTGACAAAGTGAGACCCCCAACTCTGTTTTTTTTTAAGACGGGGTTTCACCATGTTGGTCAGGCTGGTCTTGAACTCCGGACCTCAGGTGATCCACCTGCCTTGAACTCCAAAGTGCTTGGATTACAGGCATGAGCCACCATGCCCGCCCTGACCCCAACTCTTAAAAAATAAAAAATAGGCTGGGTGCAGTGGCTCACACCTGTAATCCCAGCACTCTGGGAGGTCAAGGCAGGTGGATAATGAGGTCAGGAGTTCAAGACCAGCCTGACCAACACAGTGAAACCCCATCTCTACTAAAAGTAAAAAATTTAGCCGGGCGTGGTGGCATGCACTTGTAATCCCAGCTACTCAGGAGGCCAAGGCAGGAGAATTGCTTGAACCCAGGAGGCAGGGGTTGCAGTGAGCCAAGATCGCACCATTGTACTCCAGCCTGGGTAACAGGGTGAATTCCCCTCAAAAAAAAAAAAAAAAAAAAAATGAGCCGGGCTCAGTGGCTCATGGCTGTAATCCCAGAACTTGGGAGACCAAGGCAGGTGAATCACGAGGTCATGAGTTCAACACGGTGAAACCCCATCTCTAAAAAAATAAATAAAATTAAAAATTAAAAAAATATACGGTATATATAATAGGATCCAGGTTAACCTGAAGGAGATGGATAAGTTATACTTTCGTGGGCCGGGCACGGTGGCTCACGCCTGTAATCCCAGCACTTTGGGAGGCCGAGGCGGGTGGATCATA